ATTTATTTATTTATTTATTTATTTATTTTTTCCTTTTTTGTCTTTTTTCGTGTCCAGCAACGGATTCCAACCCTCAGTGTCACGCCCGCACCGGACCAGGACGGGCAACGGGATCGCAACCCCTGGCGCCGCGCCCGCACCTCGCTCAGCCAGTGAGCGGGAACCGGTCTGTATGTGGGATCCGAACCCTCAGCGGGAGCGCCACCGCACTCCCAAGCGGCGCACTGTAGCAGTGTGCCACCGGGCCGGCCCATATGCAGGTACTTTTTAATTCCAGCTGCAATGGAAAGTAACTGTCTTGGAAGACGGAATTTAGGTCTTTTCTCACTTTAGCCTAATCCAGTAGATAAGAATAACCTGGAGGGCTCATTAAACATGGATTACTCAGTCTTAGCTCATTTTCTGTTGTTTATAATAGAATACCTGAAACTGGGTAATTTATAAAAAACAAATTTATTTCTTACGGTTTTAGAGGCTTGGACATGCAAGGTCAAGGGGACACATCTGGTGAGGGCTTTCTTCCTGGTGGGAACTCTGTAGAATCCTGTGGAGGTGCAGGGCATCACATGGTGAGAGGCTAGAGTGTGCTCACGTGCTCTCTTCCTCTCTTTATAAAGTCACCGGTCTACTCCCATGTTAACCCATTAATCCACTATCCCATTAATTCATCAATTGATTAATCTATTTATGAGGGTATAGCCCTCATGATCCAATCGCCTATTAAAGGCCCCACCTTTCAAATATCATAGTCAAATTTCCCACCCTCTTAATAATGTTACAATGGGGATTAAATTTCAACATGAGATTTGGAAGGAACATTCAAACCATAGTGTTCAGCCTCACCCTTACTGGTTCTAATTCGGTAGATCTGGGGTGGTGCCTAAAAATTTAAATTTTCAAGAAACTCCCAAGTGATGCTGATGCTGCTGATCCAGGGGTTAACATCTTGGCTAATCTGATGAACTCTAAATAGTAGTAAAAGCTGTCTTACTTGAATTCCATCCCACATATTCTAAAAAATGGTTAAGTTTTAAGATACAATTTTTTTTTTTCACAGCTTTTGTGGAGGGGATGCTAATGGCCAGAGGAATTTGGCATTTGTTGCAGACACTTGAATTCCATCCCACATATTCTAAAAAATGGTTAAGTTTTAAGATACAATTTTTTTTTTCACAGCTTTTGTGGAGGGGAGGCTAATGGCCAGAGGAATTTGGCATTTGTTGCAGACATATTTAAATGTGCGTGCGTGTGTTTCTTTTTGATGAAAGTCACTCCAGAACAGACTTGCTGGGGTGTTTGTAACCCAAAGTAGTGGGTAGTTAGATGGCACATTTCTGACTGAAATCATGAGCATCTCATAGCTCGTCTATATTCAGTGATAGTTATACGTGCATTTAATCATGAAATAATTATCAAACACTTACTATGTGCCAGACATTATAGCAGATGTTGAAGATAAAGTGATGAATGAGACAAATACATATTCCTGTCCCCATGGAACATATCCATTAGAAAAACTGACATTAAACAATTAAATAAATAAATATATAACACAAGGTCAAGTAGTATTGCTATAAAGAAAAATAAACCAGTATAAAGAATGAAGAGTATGGGGTCAGGGTTCTTTTAGGCAGAGTAATCAAAGAAGGTGACATCTGAACAAAAGCTTGAATGAGGTGAGGAAGGTCATGTCAGGAGTCAGGGGTGGGTGGTCCAGGAAGAGAAAACAGCAAAAACAAACTGCTTGAGCTGAGAACAGGTTTGGTATGTCTAAGGAATATAATTTCTGACTGAATAATCTCTACCATTTCCCTCTTCTATTCTCAGATGAGCATTCAAGAATATGAACTAATTCATCAAGACAAAGAAGATGAAAACTGTCTTCGTAAATACCGCAGACAGTGCATGCAGGATATGCACCAGAAGCTGAGTTTTGGGCCTAGATATGGGTTTGTGTATGAGCTGGAAACTGGGGAGCAATTCCTGGAAACAATTGAAAAGGAACAGAAGATCATCACAATTGTTGTTCACATTTATGAAGATGACATTAAGGGTTGCAATGCTCTAAACAGTAGTTTAACATGCCTTGCAGCAGAATACCCTATGGTTAAATTTTGTAAAATAAAAGCTTCTAATACAGGCGCTGGGGACCGCTTTTCCTCAGATGTACTCCCCACGTTGCTTGTCTACAAAGGTGGGGAACTCATAAGCAATTTTATTAGTGTTACTGAACAGTTGGCTGAAGAATTTTTTGCTGGGGATGTGGAGTCTTTCCTAAATGAATATGGGTTACTACCTGAAAGAGAGATTCATGCCACAGAGCAGACCAACATGGAAGAAGAAGATATTGAATAAAGATTCAATATATCACTATCTCATATGTATTCTTTATGCATTGAACATTAATTTTGGTAGTATCCATATTTCTTTAGAGAATACCAAGTACAGCCATAGCTATTCTGATTTGAAAAAAAAGATTGACACTAAAATTCTGTTATGAGCATTTCTTAGTATTAGTTATTCAGATTGATACAATGCTTTAATGAAAAAAACATTGTAGTCTTCAGCAACATTGTTAGTAGACAAAGAGGTTGTGGATAATATTGTGACATTTTTTAAAAAATCTCTTTCACGTTATGCATTTGGGTTTTTTTTACTCCTTTTTTCCTCAGCGTTATTATTTGGACTTTTCAAATTATATTATTAATTATAATTTTGCTTGTGTAATAGGAATAAAATCTAATGAAGAAATAAATTTTCTGTTTGATGTCTATTTTTTTGCAAGTATTACATTATCGAGGCCCTTAAAGTAAGGTCCAAAATACGAAAAAGTTTTCATTCAGTAAAATATCTTATATTCCAGCCAAACCAATGCATAAGAAATGTAGAAACATTGGGCCAAATTAAAGTTGTTAAAAAACAAAAAGAGTATTTGTTTTAAAAGGCAGAATGGAAGCAAGGTCTTCTTATTCTCCAGATGAAAGAATAACATGTAGTAGTAATAATAATTGCAATTATCATTTATTGATTGCCCGTTATAGGCCATTATACATATCATCTCTCATTCATAACCACAATTCTGCATGTAGATATAATATTATTCCCATTTTTATAAATAATGAAACCAAAATTCAGAGAAGTGAAGTAGAAGTTCTGCTTCTGTTTCCCATTTGGAAGTCTCTCCTCCTACACAAACACATGGAAATGCCAAATAAAATTTAATTTTAAAATGTTTTTACATGCATGAATGAGCTGAAGAGCAAGATTAAAGAAATTTCTAGGTGTCTGAGTCAGAGCGGAAAAATAACGGTGAGTGAGAGCTAAAGTGATACGGCCTATGACTGAAGACATGGTGCCTATGAAGTACCCAGAAATGGGCTCCCTGTGAGAAGTGTGCTTAAAGCAGGTTTGTGTGTTTCACCCTGCCAGCCCAGTGTTGAAACCAGACATTTGTCAAAAGTTCTAATCTCCACTCTCCTAAATGACTTTTTTTTTTTTGTCTTTTTGTCTTTTTCCATGTCCGGCAACGGATCGCAACCCTCAGTGTTGCCCCCGTACCAGACCGGGGACCAGCAACGGGATCGCAACCCTCGGTGTTGCTCCTGCTCCTCGCTCAGCCAGTGAGCGGGAACCGGTCTGTATGTGGGATCCGAACCCTTGGGCGGGAGCGCCACCGGGCCGGCCCCTAAATGACTATTTTGTAGCATCTTTTGTTTCCCCTAAATCTTCCACACCCCTTTCCACCACTCCAAACATTTCACCTTGCTCTTACTTCATTAAGAACATAGAAGTGATCAGATGAGACCTACCTCATCTTCCTGTCACCAGATCTAAAATGTGCACCTGCACATAAACTTGTTTATTGGTGTCATGATGAAAGAAGTGTCCATCTCAGTAGCTGTCTCGGGCCAACTGATCAAGCTGTGCTGTGGATTCTGTCCTTTTTTCCCATACAATAATTTTTCCCCTGCAATTTCCCCCTCTTCTTGGCATCATTGGCTTCTCCCTTTCTTTATGTTCACATTGGCTTGTAAGGGAGATTTTAAGTGGACCACTAGTTAAAATATGCCCAACAATAATTTAAAATTTCCATCTACCACTCACTTCTCTGGTTTTCTTTACAATCATGTCTCTCAAAAGAATGTATCTGAATTCACCATCCTCACCCCTCACTTCCAAATGTTTTCACTACACTCCAATCAGGCCTTTGTCCCAAGCATTCTAATTACAGTTGTAGTTATTTTGTCAAATTTATTGGCCAATTCTCATTCCTTAATTTATTCTGTCTTCTATAAGCATGTGTCAGAGTTGACTATCTCCCCTCCACCCCCCTTTTAGGTCACTTCTTTTGGATTCTTGGACACCGCATTGCTTGTTTGCCTTCTATTCTACTGATGATTCCTTCTAAGTCTCCTTCGCTGGCTTGTTCTTCTCTAAACACTCGCCCTACGTACTCTCCTGTAATCCAGTCTTAAATAGCACTTCTATTCAGACCACTCCAGCTTTACTTCTCTCCTAGACGCCAAAGTCCTATATCTCAACTGCAGGAAGGCTAGAAATGAGGAAAAGAAGAATGAGGGAGAATAAAAGGTCTGCAATCACACTAGATACTGAAATAAGTAATATAGGATTCTTGACTATGACCAGCTCACATTGACCAGTCCCTAAAATATGGTCACTTCAATAAGTACTGAGTGTTTAGGCCGGCCCGTGGCTCACTCGGGAGAGTGCGGTGCTAATAACACCAAGGACATGGGTTCGGATCCTATATAGGGATGGCCGGTTAGCTCACTTGGGAGAGCGTGGTGCTGA